CCTAGTTTTATCAAACTGCTGTCAACCAATCATCCAAAAAAAAAAAATACAAAAACAGAAACCTGTTTAAGTGATGTTTAAAATGGTTTAAGTAGGGTTTGAGACGTGCTTAACTTTGAATTGTCAATTCAGTAGTAGTCGATCAAATTCATAAGTAGTTTTTCAAGTTATCCAATAATATTCGGTCTACTTAAATATTTCATAATATTAACATTATTTTGTTATTACCTTTATATAAGTATGGGCTTGACAGGACTATAGATACGATTATCAAACTAAATTAATTTTCAGGAATGTTCTATGCAAATATTAAACACAATTGTTTTTGGTATTGAACCTTGAGGCTTGCCTCTTTCTAAAAGATAGGTGTTTTAGATACTCTTAGAATTTAAAGTAGGTCAAGTGATGTCTAGCAAAACATCAAGAAAGGACTTAAGCTGGTAAAGCTTACGTTTATATTAAACCCAACATTGACACAATTTATGCTTTACAATGGAAGAGCACAATTTCAACAGAAATATCTTAAGGATTAGTCTCGTTAACAACATGAGATATGTAGTATTAGTATGCAATGAACTCAAAATTTTACGTTAACTTGTAATCTATTCATTTTTGTATTGGAATGTTAAGGATTTTTTTTGTAATAGGTTTACCAAAATCTCATGGCATTAAAAAAAAATGTGAATTTCATATTGCAACATTCATGTCACCCGTCAATCATCAAGTCACTTGGTTGTCATTCGTTGCTAAAATTTTGTTGATGTCGTAAATATTTCGTTAATTTATTTATTTATTATAATTGAAACCAACAGCGTTACAAATAATAGTATAGGTTATAACAAGCTCAACATTAAGGCCAATAAAAGGTTTCACATCATCAAACATTTACACGTGTTTTTTACAGACACCGATCATACAAAATTCAAAGTGGTATTTCTATTGCATTTCTCTTATTCAACTAGACTTGACTTGACAAAAAAGGAAAAGCAATATCTCAGAAAATTCCTGCCAATTACAAAAGAAAACCTCTCAGTTACGAGCATATGGCATTGTAGAAGCATAATTTACTGTAATATGTCACTCCTGTTATAAGAGTTCAACAATCAAAAATTCTATGAGACTGAAATATTAGATTTAATCAATTATATTACGCCAATCAATTATATTCTTGTACGCTCGAATTATCTACGTATTAGTGTTTGTTTTGTATGAAAATAAATGTAATTAAAGTAGGTATGTTGTGTATAAATAATTATTTCTTTGAATTTAGTATTTATGAGAAAATGTCGAAAAACCTCTTAAATCTCAAGCGAGGGATATTGTTTTCAATGTCTACAATAAAATTCGCGAGGAGGAAGGTGAAAATCAAACACAATCTTCGATATTAAAGCGCGTCGTAGCTTTGACCGGTAAGTTGAACTGAGTAGTATTGATACATTTTATATTTTTTTATAACATTAACTTATATTAAAGATGTTTTTTAAAGGAAACTACATGATTATGTATTAAATAGATTTTGATGCATTTTTAGGTGTTACCAGTACCACTGTACGACGAATCATATGTAAAGGCACATCAAATGATGGTGTATTTTCCACGCCCGGTAAAAAAGAGAAGAGGAGGAAAGAAAAAATATAATTTAGATAATTTTGATTTAGATTTGTTTAGGAACAAAGTTAAAGTATTCTATACATTACGAAAAGAAATTCCAACAGTAATGAAAATTTCACAAATTCTTCGTAATAATATTAACTTCCAAGGAGGGAGAGAATCATTGAGATGAGGAACAATATCTGTAAAATACAAACTATGTATAATAATTAATGTATTGTCTGATTAATATATACATAAATATCGTCATCAGCCTATTGTAGTCCACTACTGGACGTAGGCCTCCCCAGGGCATGCCCATTTGGGGGGGTTTTTCTCGTAGTCGCCACTCTGGGCAGGCGCGTTGGTGACCGCAGTGAATGATATATCATTTCGGACTGTGTGGACAGTATGGGAAACGCTGCTGCCCACCACCAATATAATCCCTTTATCGCCTCTTACGATGCCCACGGAAAGATATGGGGTGGTGCTATTCTACTCGACCGGCATCACATATACACTTGTACATTTTGTTCATAAATATTAATTATATATAAGTACATAGATATGTAGCGAGCATAATTAAAGTTAAAAAATATTTTGTTAAGGCTTTGAATACGTTAAATGTCAATCGAAAAGAGTAATTTTGATGGATCGAAATGACATAAAATTACAACGACATTTAATATTTAATTTTAATAATTTCATTTATATTCTCCACAAACTTTTTCACTTAAACAATGTGCTTAGTATATATAATCATAAACATAGTTTGTAGGAGACTGACATCTAAACAAGCCAATAAATTGCTTGTATTTTAGAATATCAGGCCCCCACCCTCAAAAGTTATTGCACTAAAAATTAAATTTAATCATCTTATGTGTTACCATCTTGTGTGTGTGTGTGTATGTGTGTTTGTGTGTGTGTGTGTGTGTGTGTGTGTGTGTGTGTGTGTGTGTGTGTGTGTGTGTGTGTGTGTGTGTGTGTGTGTGTGTATGTGTATGTGTGTGTGCGTATGTGTGAAAATCATGAAGTTTGTTATAAAACTCAGTTAAATGAGCGAAAGAATATTTTTTATCAATCGTTGGGAAAAAAGACAAATGACGAATGCAATTGCAATTTCGGAATCTAGCATTAATTTCTTAAGGCTTAAGATTGTATAAAATTACAAACACAAAACAAAAAAAAACATAATAATTAGCCCTATAAATGGGTTTTTGATCTTTTTCTCTGTTTTATCTGTGTCGCTATCTCTGCGAGCCCGGGTTCGATTCCCGATCGTGTCAATGTAGAAATTGAACTTTTCTATATTATCTCGGGACGTCTGGGTGTTGTGGTACTGTTACGGTGGCGGTCAGGAATGGCTTTTAAAAAAAAAATTATTTAACACTTCGTTTATTTTGTAACAACACGATTTATTACACTATTTTAGAACAATGATTATGTTGTCTGACGGGAATCCAATCCAAAACTGATTTATTCAATATTATCATTACGTTCAAGACTCGCTTTCATATTGCATGACGACATTGCGATAGGAAACGTCTATGTTGCGTTTTTTATTTTAATAGCAAATAATAGAAGTTACATTATAGCAGTACCTTTGTTGTCTCAGATACTCCATGAGGCTTCAGCTATTCATCTTGGAATCTGAGCAATGTATGTGATGATGTTTAATATTTATTTATATTTATACATATTTAACTATATAAAAAAAAAAAACAAACATAGGTTCTGATATAATTTAAAATCATCTAAAGTATATTTTACAACCGTATTTGTCTTTTTTTCTGCCATTACAAATGTGTGAGATTGTCAAGCAAACTTGTCTTTACTGTCGATGTGTATTTGTATGGAAACGTAAGCGGAGGTACAAGAGGGACATGCCATTATGGCGTTAATGCGGCTTGCGTTGAAGTTTCGAACGTATATGCAACCTCTTTTTTGATTCTTAGCGCCCAAAATAGCGACATAAAATAGCAACAGCCATATTAAAACAAACCAGATATTTCTTAAATATATATATATATATATATATATATCACACTTTTAAAAAAATAAAGAGAAAAATATTAGTAAGAAGATATACAATTAAGTTACCACTAGCTTTTGTCAAATAAAACCTTCATTACTAAAGCATATATTTATTGTTACGTTTAATTAAATTGGTTAATAAATAAAGAATAGTTTTTGTCAAGAGTTCTAAAGAGATATAATCTTACATACTATTATATTGCACTAGTACTGTCCTCTTAAGTAAGAATTCACTTCACAGCCTATATCAGACACTATATTGTACATTTTTAAGTCACTGTTCCTATACAAAAATAATTAAAAAAAAACACACACATACTATTATTTTTATCCCTTTGAACCTTTTATCAGTATTTACACGTTATTTTAATTTATACTATTTACTCTTTAATTAATTTATATTACGTTGCAATTCCTTTATTTTTTCACAAACATGTAAAGATTTAAAAATATTTAACGTAGCCTAACGACGTCATATACTTATTGTAAAATAATACTTTATAAAATCAATGTATTCTATTAATGGAGTACAGTTTTAGAATCGGTGGTAGAATAGGGTAGTGGCAAATGTAATTAACAATGCTTAAAACTAAACTACAAGCAAGTTGATATTAAACATACATACAAACATAATATACATATTATAATGATACTTTATTATCGCTATATAAATATAATTTGTTGGGAGATCGTCTGATGAAGTATATATGATTATTACGACAACCTTACACACTCGACCGATGATCCATCACATACTAACATATATACTTCTCTGAGACGGCTAAAGGATCTTTCATCATATTTCCACGGATCCTTCCAATAAATTAAGTGAACACCTTAAATCGGCATCATTATATGTCAGGTTTTATCGTTTTTGTTGCTGTCACGTGATGTTTCACACATTATAATGAAACTGATATATTTCTGTGGTGACACAACACATCATAGAAATTGGTTTCTAACCTAAATGTATGAAACTGATACTTTTTTTGTCGCGTCTTAACGTGACAAAGATGTGTTTCTACCTTATATTATGTGCCATAAATCAAGGGTTATAGTAGGATCTATAAATGGTATCCTTACTCATAATAAAAATAATAATGAATGAAAGTGCCTAAAAAAAAGAATAAAAGAAAATTTCAATAAATTATTTTTATCTAAATTTAGACAGTTAAAAGTTTTTTAAACTGGGATATGATTATATATAAAAATCAAAGTAATTATTCATATTACCACATAGCCATAATTACATTTCAATAAAATATTAAAAAATATACATTTGCATATTCCTAGAACCTAATCCTAGAGAGTTAAAACTCAGTTCTTCTCTTATCTTTTAAACTATTTTTTAATTTATGTTCCAAATGATAACTCAAAATGGCTACGTCAGAGTTGCATTGTCGTGGACGTCGTGTTCGCTGTGATGGCTTCCGGAGAAATCCTCAATCATACCCTCAATGGACACATATGCCCCAGATACGAGAGCTATAACCGAAATCAATCCTATTAGAATATTCTTGTACAGCACATAATTTAGTGGTCCCAAGTCTTTGTCCCAGTGGTACACTGTGTCCACGATGGCAGGAATCAGAAGACCCAACGTTGAAAAGAAAACAGCTCCAACTAAACTAATCACCAGCTCGAGATTGGGAAATGCTGCTGCGATACCCACTGTGGAATAACTCAAACAATGAATAAAAATAATAATTAAAAAAATGATGGTGAAATAAAGAAACTCACATACTGCCAGTTGTACAAACGTCATTAAAATTGACATTAGTTTAAAGCGACATTAGCCATTGATAATTTATATTCATTAGATCTCAAAATCGTCATTAAACCTTAATGGATTTTGGGCAACTGACCGATACACATATTAAACTTAAACATAAAACTTTCTTCAGTGATTGGAAATCTTATAGCTAAAAATATTATCTGTACTAACGATTCATCATCTCCAGCCTATTAATGTAATAACTACTGGTGCTCAAGCCTTTCTTATGGATGGGATCGAAACGAATTGAATAGGAAGAATAGTTCATGACACACCATGAGAGCACAGTGCGGGTTAGCGTGTATTAGCGGCTCAATGTGCGATCTGAACAAATTGAAATTTTTAGTCCCCCATCTTATGATCGGCCATTGCGAAAATTACTTTACCACCGTATCGCAGATCGAGTGCGCTAATCACTTCTCCATCAAGCACCTATAAACTTACTGTCTATTAAATATTAAAACAAACAATATAATCCTTTCCTCGATTTTAAGAAGCTTATGGTCATTTTAGCTTAAATTGCGTAAGCAGTCGAGTACCCTAGACCTATTAAAATATTTAACATTTTATGAAATAGGGTACAAAAGTAGAGAATAATTGCTTTAAGAACACCTTGCATTAAATATTATAAATAAAAGAATTTCCTTTGTCATTCTTCTCAATTATTCGTCTCAAGAGCATGCTTCATAAGTAAAAACTTTGTAATCTAAATAATTGTAAAGTATTAACTTTGTTGATCAAATATAATAAAAATTAACAAAAAATTGATCAAATATAATAGGGGTTAAAGTATGAAATTGCCGATTTGTAATGAAAATCATTTTATTTTAATTTTTAACATATTTATTTAACCAAAATAGGTACCATTATTATCTATACATTGCTGCCACTTAATAGGAAGGTCATTCATGCCTTTACGATAGAACTCTGAGGATCTAGACTGCACAAACTTTGTGAAAGCATTTTGTGCTGCCTCCTGGGAAGATAACATCTTGTCACTTTGTCCAAATCATTAAAAAAATGGTAGACCGTTGGAGCAAGGTCTGGCGAATACGGAGGATGACGAATGGTTTCTAACTGCAGTTCCTGAAGGGTCAAAACGGTTTCTCGTGCTGTATGAGGTCTCGCGTTGTCATGGAGCAATAATGGTTGGGATCGATTGATAAGTCGGGGCTGTTTTACTGCTAGTTTTACCAACATTGTTCGGAGTTCATTGCAATAGACATCTGCCGTCATTACTTGACCAGATCGGAGAAAACTATAGTGAATAACACCATGCTGAGACCACCAAACAGTTACCATTACCTTTTTATTGATAAGTTTTGCTTTAGGACACGGTTGTGGCGTTTGACATGGGGTCAGTCATTGCAGTTTTCTTTTATAGTTATCATAAAGAATCCACTTTTCTTGTTTATTTTATTGATTTAACGTAAATCAGTCAATATTGTGGGTAAGGTAACGTTAAACCATGTCGCTAATTCCTGGGTAGTTTGACTAGGATCAGCTTCCACCATCTTCATTGAATAACAAAAACAATTGAAAGTCGATATTCAAATGTTTTACATTTTTAAAAAGAAGAACATCATAGTAACCATGTGAAAAAAGTTTCTTTCGAAAATCTCAAACCATGAAGATTTTATTTCAATTCAAGGAATCTATTACAATGAAACGGCAATTTCATACTTAAACCCCTAATAATAATCTTTATCTTACCTGTGAACAGTACTATTCCAGTTCTTATGCCTATTTGAATAAGGTTATTGCAACTAGGTGCACCGTTTTTTTCAAGATACCTAGTGACCATCTCCATTGGCACATAGAACTGCAGAGCGTAGGTGAAAAATATGCATAATGCCATCAAAAGCTTAGCGGTTTGTGCGAATCTGAAACATTAAATTTAAACTGTTTTTAGTTTTATAATCGACTATCTTGTGCCTATCTTGTGAAAAACGGCCTTGTCACACTTCCTATTGCAAGACCTATGCAACGATACCCCACATTATGGAAAAGACGAAAAAACATATCGACCCCATTATTCGGCGTAATGAGCATTACTATACTTGATCAATTTCGCAACCATAATGCCTTACTGCAAAATATTATTAAATAAAAATGATGAGATGACAAATGCCATTAAGAATATGTATAATCATGCCAAATAACAATTTTCTAATACCAATAGTTTTTCAATTAAACCGCGGGTGGACGGACGAACGAACATACGGTCATGGAGAAATTTAAAGGTTTGCTTGTTTACTATGGAACCCTAAAAAGCTATGTTTATTTAAGATACAGCAATAGCTATACCATGCAGTAACATTTTTGGAATATGGCAATATATAATTGTACACGGCTTACATACAATACATCCCCATCACTAATATACACAACATTGGTATTTGAAAATACAAAATACTATCACGTAAATTAATACAAAACAGGAAGAGAATAAAACATATGTACACCGACTAATGTCCAATGTTTTTCGGCAATTTATCTCTGAAAACTTTAAAGCTATTTATCCAATCGGAAATACAGATTGAAAGAAAAACAAAAACTTTTCAGTTTACACAAAACTTAATCGAAACTGAAACCTACGCCAAATTTATTTATCGTTGAGAATTAACGACATCTAGAAAAGCAAAGCTAAATAAGTTCTTACTACGTTTTCATTGAAACTCTAACTTGACCAAAATAGTCCGATGTAGAAAAGACCTAACGCCATCTAGTAAAACTAAAAATACAATAATATTTTGCTTTCGTATATAAAATGTTTATACTAGAATATCTTCAAAAATTTATATCTAAAATTTATGTTTGGTATAAATTACAGGTTTAAATTACAAGACCAATTTTCATCACTATTTATGGAAATCTTTATCAATATTATTAGATAGATTTATTACAATGACTAATGAAATGGTGAAAATGGTTGCTATGGTAACATTTTGTATCCCCATAAAACTTCTACTCCTATTTTCATCCCTTTAAGTGCTGGTTTTTGAGATAAAATATAACCTATTAACTTCCAAGAGTCTTAAGCTATTCCAAAGCCGATATTTATATCGATGAATATCGGTTCAAAAACAAAAAAGTGTCATACAAACATTTTCACTTTTTTCATCCACTTCGGGGCGGAATTTTCAATAATCGGTTCTTAGTCCATCTCTACGTAATACGACAAATGTATCCTCCAAATTTCAAGTCTCTACGATCAGCGGTTTGGGCTGTGCGTTGTCTGTCAGTCAGTATGTTAGGACATCTCATTTATATACGTATAGATATTAAATGATAAACAATAACAGGTATCCGAAATATCTATTTATTATTCATATAATAATTGTAATAAAGAAATTGTTCCATTTAATTAATCAAATAATATAAATTTGGAACCTCAACATTATGTTATGATAGAATTGGTATATAACATAGAAACAAAGAGTACAAACGCCAGCTGATTGTCGTTTTGCGAGAATAGAAAAAATCGATTATAAAACACGATTACTTGCAAATTATGAATTATGTATTTAAATAATTATTTGAATTATAATTATAGCTCGTTATTTGTTAATAGAATAAAAATTAACATACTTACATTGCGTCTTCTGGTAAATTCAATGTAATGCTGCCTTTGACCAGGTCACCATACTGAATATAGCCGAAGAAACCTACAATGCCATATAAGGATATAACGATCACCATGGCAACATTAAGTACTCCTGGACAACCAAGGAACCTCTTAGGATTGGCCATTTCGTTCTCCACTGGCATCACGACTCCGATTCCTTCCATTGCAAAAATTACAGTACTGAAAAAAAAAACAAGATCGAATATTTAGTTTGTTACCAATAAAATAAGTTCAATGTTTATTGCAGTACATGGCCGTTATATTATGGTGGATTGGTGGAGATTGACTGCAGGTGCAGCCAGGACTAATGGCTGCACGTGTGTTCCGAAGCACGGAGGAACTCGTGATAGTAAATTTTGGTCACCCATCCTATGGCAGGTCAACTCGAAAGTTGCAGACCGAGCGCCAGCCACTGGACCACCGAGCTTCTCTAGTTATCTGTTTACAATGCTAGAGAGCAAACCTTAATAATTTTATAAAAAAGTTTTTGAATTGACTGTAAAAATTCATCACAAAAAATGAAGGTATTTGTATGTGAAAGCAGACTGAAAGATCTTTGACTATTAAATTATTGTTTATCCAACTGATTTGATTTTACTGGAAGGGTCCAGTCAAGACTGGAGAAATAAAAAATGGCGGTACGCAGTTTGCCGGATCAGCTAGCAATATTAGCTACATAATCAAAATGGCTAGAATGTAGAAAGTGAATTCGTAATTTAATTTATACTTTTTATGTGAGAAAAATATCAATATGTTAGCTTTTTTTTCATTTTGATGTACCTTACATTATTTGAAATTATTAGTCAATTTTTAAAACAAAGATTTATTATTATTAATAATAAACTGGTTTTATAACAAAAATTAAATCAACAACATTACAGTGCCATCTATTAAAATAAACTTTCTAAAATCTCATTCACAAATAGTTTCGTTTTGGGTATCCAAGACTTGGGATGTCAGATTACATCAAAGCTAGCATTGTTATAACTAAATAGATCTCACGAAAACTCATTACAACGAACAAAGACCAAAATCACTTAAGGAGGAGCCGGAAATAGTCCAAAATCTTTATCAAACTCATACCCGACAATCACTTTCTGCTATATTACTCGCTGCTTTAGAAATTCAAGTGAGAATAATGTTGTCCAATTTCAACTTGACACGTCACAAATTACAAGAATTAAATATCATAATATTCAATAAAAATATTTATAAAAAACAAATTTATCGAACTCAAATATCAATTGGTTAGCTATCAAACTTATATAAATAGAAGGCAAGGTTTTAAATTTAATATCCATGTAACATAGAATTCAGAAAATAATTTTATGGGAAATGGTTTTTTAGTTTGTGATCATTTTTATCTATGATTGTAATTTAAAACACGAAAAAATAATTGAATAATTTCATAACCCACTTACCGACTAAGCCAACTATAAAACAATTTAAATAAGAAATTTCCTTAAAAGCGATTATAATGACTTCTTGTGTTTCTAATCAAGGTGTAGCATTAATAAGTCTGTTTATTGGAAATCAAATAACTATATAGTTTAATGTTGGGTATTATTTATATTATGACATAAACTTGGCTACATTATGTAATTTAAAGAAATGTTACGCTACAACCTGTTCTATTATGTTATTACTTTATTTTTAACATGGATACAGCTTTTCATCTTGGTTTCCTTCTTCTTTAAGAACTATGAGATACGATAAAAAGTTTAAGAGGATGTAATGTTAAAGGACAGCTTGTAACTAATATCAAATTGGAGGGGAAACCTAAATCTAGACATCTCTATAAAAACCTAAGAGCCTGGCTTGTGTCAAAAATATTTGCTTTAGAGATACAAACAGTGATGTGAGATCTCATATAAAATCTAAACGGATATCTAAGTGATTTGATGCATCCGAAAATATTACCCGTATCACATTCAAAACTCTGAATGCGTTTTTTTAGAAAATAAACAAAAATAAAAGTATTTCTGGCACGGAAATTAAATTGTTATCAAAGTATTGTTTGATGAATGTTTTGCAATTCATCAATAACTTTGTTTTACGTAGCGTAGAAAAAATTCAGTGAAATCTTGTAAAGTTCGTTAGTATAATACATTGGGGTGAAATATTTCAAGTTTATTTATTGCGCAATAACATTTGTTTTCAAATTGTTCTTTATTATTTAAATATTCAATCCAGAAACCGTGTTATTGAGTATTTAAAGTTAAGCACGTCCCAAATTTTAATTAAACATCACTTAAACAGTTTCGTTTTTGATTTTTGTTGTTTTAATAATCAGTTGATAGCAGTTTGATAGCTCGGTGGCGTAGAGTACCTAAGCGCCGCGGCCCGTGATCGTTGTTTTTAAGCAACTTTCGCAAGCGTCGGTCACGGGATGGGTGACCAAAAATTATTATCTCGACCTACTTCGTGCTTCGGAAGGCACGTTAAGCCGTTGGTCCCGGCTGCATTTGCAGTCGTTAATACCCTCCAATCCGCATTGGGCCAGCGTGGATGGTCATGAACCATCCTCCTTAACTGAGCACCTGCAGCGGCGACAGAAAAGGGCTGATGATTATAGCAGTTTGATAAAAATAGAACTGCTTTTCTTGTGAAAAGTAAAAATAAACTTTTGTACTTTTCTCAATTCAGAAACCGGCAATTAGTCCCTTAAGTTTTATTATAACGAGGGGTTAGTCAGTACATAAAAATAGACTATAATTGAGTTTTTAACATAATTATTATCGTAACACATGAACAGGGCCGGATCTAGGGAGGGGCAAGTGGGAACACGGCGCAACAATCATCATCCTACAAATATTATTAAAACTGACTTACCTTAAGAATAAGGGCCATTGAGTTATACTGGCTACCATTTCTCTCTCACTCGGCGATGGCAGGTCAAGGAACACATAATATAAGGTGATAACGAAGACGACCAATATCAAAGCATTGGCGATAGCGGAAAAAGGTACTAAATACTTGAGATTTCTTATTTGACAGATTAGAACTAATGGAATCAAGGTAAATAGGCAGTAGAGCTGAATAGAATATATGTTGTCCGGGAAAATTGGATCAAGGACCTGAAATAATAGAACACTTTTTTTATTTACTCATATATTTGTGTAATATATTGAATTTACGCTCATTATTGGATTGATGGGAATATTAGAAAATCTATTTCATTACGGTCAATGTAACTTATTTTAATAATATGCTTATTTATAATGATGGTTTATTATAAATAAGCATATTATTAACTGCCTAAAATAATAAATATCACGTTCAACAACATGCTTATAATAAAGACAATGGATAAGTCTGATATTAAATTTAAATCAAATTATTATCCACCTTTGACTAAAACTTGAGTAGCTATTAATTGGATTATAATGGATAGGCCTACATTAATCTCAACACAAAAAGAAATAAAGCTTAATAACTATTACCTTTCATTGGAAGTTTTTAGAGAATAGCACTAAAGCCTTGTGTAAGAATCCATTATTATACTTTTTAATTTCATTAAAAGTACAAGTATTCTAAAACAAAAGGTGTAATATCCCTTTCATAAGTATTGCGTACAATAGTTGAAATTTGAGGTAGGTATATAAAAAAAGTATAATTTAATTCTGGAAATATATCAATCAGTAAAAATGGATGGAACTTTTGAAGGCAGTGGACTTAAAAGTAAAATAAAGCACAATACATCGATCACAAGTGTTAGTACTGCTACGTGCACATATATTGTTGCCGTTGCACGTGTGTCACAGTTGCACATATATATATATATATATATATTATAGATGCATACAAGTATATAAGTTAAGTATCTATAAAACCCTTATAGAGCTATTAATAAACAAGGTTAATTTGTTTATTAATAGCACTGTTAAATTTACTCTGACGCTAAATTTACACAAATATTGCAATTTTAGTATTACTCCAAATTCATATTATACAGATAATAAGCAAAACTTACCTTCTAGGAGTAAATATTACTCCCGTAGTACATCGCTCTAGGTTAGCCTTTGCTAAGTCTCTGTTTAATAATATGGATTTTAACTAATACTATATGTAGTCCCAGCGTAAACTTACTCCAACGCTAAACCTTGTACATCGTTCTAGGGTAACCTTTGCTAAGTCTCTGTTTAATAATATGAATTTTGACTAATACTAAGTGCAGTCGCATGGTAAATTTACTTCAACGCTACCATCACACGGGGTTAACATACACTATAAATTTCGCGTGCGAAGTCGCGAGTCACCAGCTAGTAAGCAGTATAAGGTTATTAACGCTCTTAAAAATATACACACCTCTTTGAAAGATGATGCGATGAAGACTACATACACGCATAGTACTCCAAGATACGCTAAAGTCATCGACACATCCGTGATTTTTCTGTATAAAAAAAAAACAAATTATTGACACTAAAAGTTTTATGTTTTATTAACTTAACCCCTCAATTTAAAACTACAGCAGCGAACGCGAGAAAAATCTTGTCCGAAGAAGAACCACCATAACATAAACTATCTTACCTATTACGTAAAAGGTTAACGTAATAAAAGAGTCGGTTTACTGCTAGATGTTTTGGAACAACTGAACTAAAAACGACTACATACTTACTACGTACGGTTGGTAAGTAGTATATTTTTCATATAAAATGCTCAGTGTTACACGAAAGATAAGTCTAGATCACCTTGTCAAACATGTAAATAGTCTACAAACTGTTTTATTATAATTCAAGGACTTTAGTACCAGGTTTGAACCATTATCCGATAAAACAGGTTACTACGACTCAATTCAAAGCTCTTCTGTCATTGTCAATTTGCTTTATGTGCCCATTGGGTAACCTTTGGTCCTCCTTTTAAAATAAATCGCAATAACGCTGTAATCGACTTACTTCATAGCTCCTCCCCAATTTTGAACTCTCTTTGGCCCATACGTAAACGCAGCGCCACAAGTGTCGGCGAAGCTCATTGAAGGCTTTTTTGCGTCTACACATACCTCTTGTGAAGTTTTAACCTAAAATTAAAAATATACTCACTTGATTTAGTAGCCTCTTACAATATCATAACAAACAATCTGAGGATATTAAGCGACATGTGATTGTAATATGTATTTGAGATTTGATAAGTGCTCTGTTTTCGTAATTATATCTAATTTTTCAATCACGAATACAAATCCAGCTAATTTGCTATATCAAACAGATATCCTTATTTGAGAAAAAAAGTATTATCAGCCCATCTTACCAAAATATGTACTGTATGTGTACAGATAAAACCAGCCATTAGAGTGCCTATCGCTCCCGCAACCAAGCCGGAATTTTTGAACGCCGCAGGCATAGCCAATATACCGGAGCCCAAGCATGCTTTTAAGAGATGCACTATAGACCCAATTGTTCTGAAATAAAGTACGTTTATTCTCTAACATTTTCATTTTTATAACTTCATAATCAATTCAAGGTTTGATAAATCCTAATATAACCATTCCTGTTGATGTAGATGTACGTATATTTCACAACCTTTTTGTTATTTTGATGCATTTCCCCAAGGTTTTTATTGTTGATGTTCACGCAATTTAGATATTATGCTGTATACAATAAAATAACTTTGTGTAGGTAACAATCTTACAGCAATATTATTTAAAATCCTACTTATTTTTCAGTTCCCAAATAAAAAAAAAGGTTACAACTACTTGAAGCGCCATCTCGTATTTTAAGTTGATGGATATTATGGTGTTACAGTACAATGTTCTTTATTATTGCATTGCCGACGCATTAATTGTATAGTTTCTCATCAGATAATAACCAATTTTCAAAGTTCTATGGTTAACGAGTGAAGAACAGATATTATATATAAAATGGATACTATAATACAATAAATATATTTATAAATGGAGTTATATTATTAAACTTCCTTTAATGAAATAACAAAAACGTCGCTTTGTTGTCCGTGTTTTTCTCGTTCTGTGGTTTTTGATAAAATATCTTCGAATTTGATAATAAACAATAGGACGTGCTTTGAATAAAAAAACGTGTCTCTAACATGTGAACGAGACTTTTTATCATTTTATTGTTCGGAAATGTTTCTTATTACAGCCATCGACATACATGACAGTACATGTTGTAGATATACACCGATCCGTATCTAAAGGCACACCATGTAAATAAATCGCTTCCGATTTCATTGACATTGCATTTAATTTAAATGCTCTCGATATACAGTACGGTAGGGGAGATCGTGGGGTTAAAACAGAATTGAGTTGAACCATAATTTCTCGAAATTTAAAAACGTTAACAAGATGGCATCATCGCATATAAATCACCGTAAGCAGTTGGTAATTAATATTTTTTTTTCAATTATCAATAGGCAGTGAGATAGATAGATACATAAATTTTTTATTTGCATCATGCATACACAAAATTTTACAATGGATTTTACACAATATTAGAAACTAAAACAGGACAATCAAACATTATGTGTACCGCAGCGATGCAAATGGGCGAAAATTCAGTGTGTATTTACTCAAAGAGCAAAGCACTGATTTTCAGTTTTTACCCCCAGTTATTATAATTGTGAAGAAAAGGGCATAGTAGTTAGAGATGTCAGACGATTGTGTTTGGCAGTAGAATAAATATCAAACAAATTATATTAATATCGGATTCGTCTGACTAACTTTATTATTATTATAATTATTCCATGCCCGCTTTATGAACAAATTGTAACTATTGTTTGATGTTATTGTTTGGAATATATCTTTAGGTTTGGGTTCAAATTATTATAAGTAAACAATTCGAAACTATTCATTTCATGACTTATTAAACAAGACACACAATGACTAATTTAACAAACAGAATTTAATAGACAAGGGAAAAATAAAGTTAAAGTAAAAGTATAATGTCGTCATGAAAAAGGTAATATAAAACCTGGATTGACGTAAACTTAGATTATGTGACATAAAAGTTTTAGGCACATAATTATTTGAATAGATACCTATGTTTTATAAAGAAAATATTCATCTAGAAAAAGATTGTGACAGATGACCAGTGGTCGGAATTAGGTAGAGTTATTCATGTACTTACACTGATTTCATACAGCGAAAGAATAAAGTGGATATGCCTCAAATCCCGAGATTAATTTTAAAGAGCAGAAAAAATCCCGTGATTTTTTAAATAAAAATTTATTTACTTTTACACATTTAAACTACTGCACGCACGTAATATGCGTATGAGAATTTGCTTAAGACTATCAATAATTTGTATTGTAAATTAATATAAACTAATAAAAATTTTATGGAAATTATCTTTGTTTTATTTGTCTATCTCTGACGTTGTTATTATTATTTAGTTGTAAGATTGTCGGCCACACCGGATTGTCCATTAGAAATCCCGGGAAGGTCCAAATTAATATCAACATTTCGATGCAAGTACATAAATAACTCTACCTAATTCCGACCTCTGCAGATGACACAGCTAAGAAAGGGGTGAATGGTTTATTGGGAAGCATGAAAAATAAAGATATTGCACGTAACTAAACCAAAACTGGGAACAGCGTTTAGTATAAGTTTTTTTTACATTTACACTCATCATTGATCGCGAGCGTGTTAAGATTTTAGGTATGAAATCCAGTACAGCGCCTCTAGCGGTAACTATGGAGATTTACAAATCTTCATACAAATTCTTCTTACAGTTAAAACCAGATTTTAGATAGAACGCGTTTTTATATCAATATTCTTAATAAGAAATGCTTAAAATCCGCTTTGTCCCTAGCTGGAACCCATGACCTTACACAATCAGGATACTGCTCTAACCACTGAGACTTAACAGGACTGACTGAGACCTAACGGTTTTGTTTTTCGTCAAAATTAGTAAGTCCTGTTTCGAGTCCCGTCTCAGAGTGCCAGGGACAAGTGGATATTTAAGCATTTTTCATTAAAAATATTTTTCAGCATAACATTCTGAATGGAAAATTGGTCAAATATAATATTTTTATATCAGTTAAAACTAGTTCTTACAAGGCAAAACGCGCTCACTAGTAGACGCGTTAACGGAAAACTTATAATCACTCTGGGCGGGTTAAAGCTGTACTTACGAATTCGGATGTTCCAATTTGCGATGATCGAATGGGTTATAAGGTTTATCGTTTACATCTTTTGATGTTATACTTAACGATGATTGAAATCCTAAGTTGTTTGTCAACTCCGCTCTGCAAAAAAAAAATACAAACATGACATTACTACGATATGATTATATAAATAAATAAATATTAAACAACATCGCATACGTTTCTCAGATTCAAAGTTAAGCTAAGCTCTTGTGTTCTTCAAAAAGTGTAATATAACAAAGGTAGCATGCCACTTAAACTTTAGATAGTGTAGATAAGTTTATTTCCTATATTTGTCCAGTTGGGAATCGAATTTGAGACTATGAAACCTGCTTTAAACTACTTGGATTTTCCGAGAAAAACAATATTATAATTGTTGTGGCAATCTATAAAATTTCTATAAAAGACGATTTAAAATTTCAATGTTTAATTCAAATACATTTCAACTAGGCAAAATTGCTCGCAAAGCCATCAAATTCAAGTTTGAGATTCCCGGTTTAATCCTAATCGGATAAACTCTTTATCACCATTAATTTCTGTAATCTAAAATACCTATGTGATTTTTAAAGTGTCTGCCTAAGTTAGGATGTAATATTTGATTGAAAACTCACGAAAATCATATGTCATGTATCGACGTTCAGGGAGAAGTTCTTGAAACTCTATAGTTGCATATCAAAATAACTTAAAATTATTCGGTAGGTACTCAGAAGTCCATCACGCTACCAGAAGGTTAGAAAATGTATAACACATAACTATCGATATTAAACTTAAGTTTTAACTTTTAAAGTTTAAATCAATTGGAGTTTTAGAGTATTTGGTCAGATACAGATGCTCTAAAACTCCAACAGTACAGTTGAGTCATTATAATAGGTCACATTAAACACCTCTCAATCTCAATTTCAAAATAACCTTGTAACGTAGTAAATAAATTATTATTTTCAAAGCTACGGTAACGCTACAATTGGAAATTTCTTTATTATTAAAATTTATTTATTTTCCTATTATAAAACTAAAGCTATTTTACGTTTTACGTTGAAAAATAAACCTTTCTAAATGTAATAAAATCAATTTAATTCTAATCAAACTAAACGCCGCTACAATGTAATGTCTGTGGACCCACTGCTTTTTACACAGTAAGGACGTATCCAAGAAATCGGAAAGATTGTTTGGTCTACTCGGGAATTGGTTTCGGGAGTTGATTAGTTAATTAATTATGAAAAGATGAACAAATAACCACATTGGGATCATTAACAATTAAATTATAAACAATTTCATTTAGATAATATCGCTATATTTACAAAATCTTTCAAATATAAAAATATTGACATAAAGAAATAAATAATCGAAATCTTTAATAAACTCATATTTAATTAACTTGGTAATGTGTTCAAAGTACCCAGATACATTTAAGAGGTCATAAATCAAACTCTACTAACTTTCAATTGGTTTTCTTGCCATTAATAATATAAAATAACACCGTATTTGTAACTTTATCGGTTACAAAGTCTACGTGTTCATCTACGTATAACATAGTTAATAATAGTCGTAATATGAAAGAATCATGTCCACTTTCCATACATTGAATGATCTGTCACATGTTTTTTATAAAGGTCATGTGTACTGTAACGTCCGTGCACATTACTATAGATAGGTTTACTCTTCGACCGGCTTCTGGTTAATGCTGGCCGTTAATATTTAAAATTATTACTTTTCCGTATTCGAATGTTTTGCTGGTTGATAATCTTTTTTTTTTGATCGAGACCGGCATAGAGTCAATATCTTAGCATTTAGTTATAAGTGTTTCGATGTATGTTTGTTCGCAAATAAAATCAAGACTGAGGAATTCTATCAGTTTTTCATTGCGCCACCCATCTTCACCATTTTATTGAGATATTATCTACCATTAGTGATAATTGAAATTAGTTTTTGCATAAAATAGAATATTATCTGAGCATTTTTTCATCTGGAGACCAGGGAGCTGTCAAAACTCGAGATAATTGTGAAACTACTTTAAAAATTAATACATTAGAATAAAAGATTTTTATAGTTTAACTCGTAAATTTGATAATTAATTAATATTTAATTGATAATGTGCATTTTTTTGCCATAAGACGAAAGAATATTTTTTCGTATTAGAAACGTAGCAAAATGTCACTGCAAGGTCCGAATCGCATTGAGGTAACATTTTGAAAATATTTATCAGCCTCACAATTTTCATCTTTGCTTTATTTTAAGACTTAATTTATTTGTTTAAATTATTATCAACAAATGACTCCGAAAAATATATTAGATGATGTAGACTAGACAATAATCCCAAATTGGTGTACACAGCATGATAAACAAACGACAGAGGACGGTCTATACAGTCCTAGCAATAAAACCTAACTTACTCTACCCTATGACTTATAAAAAAGGGATTATTTCGTTGGTGAAGATACCTGGTCTTTAAAGAAGTCACTTATAATCTTTTTATATCTGGAGAATTTATGATCAAAGATGTGGAATGCAGTGTCTTTGCTACTACGGGGAATCTCATTAAATGTGCGGCGCATTCTAACTAGAGGACTGTAAAAGGATTTATTATTTTTGTATACCTGCATTGCAAATATGTTAGGCTAGCGCGATCTATGTCTCGTATTAATAACTTATGAAGGTAAAGTAGGTCATATCTTCTACGCCGTGTATCCAAGAATATTACACAAAACTTGGATAATCTTATACTCAAAAATTAAATATTATAAGTTATAATTTTGTTCTGTTAACTCAAATAATTATTACAATTGATAATTATAATAATATAGTAGAATAAGGAACATAACATTATTTACTACCTGGAGGTGGGCGCTAATGGTTGCACTTCAGTTTTCTTTTTAAACTACTGCGACTATTATCGTACACTATACTTTTGTTAAACTATTTGTTTCAATGAATACATTTTTATTTTATTTATTTATCTTTGAGAGTAACTAACTAAAATTCGACCCAGTTTATACTTCCATGAAATACATTTCAGATTTCTTTTCTGAACTCTCTTCAGACTATCCACGTGAACCTTATAAAAAAGAGACCACACAGGAGAACAATACTCTAAGACACTTCTCACTAAACGGAAAAACAGATTTTGTAGACCTCATTATAAAGCCTGTCAGGCGATGGCTCCTCCTTATGATATCTTTACAAAGTAGACAGAAAAACAACTGCTCAAATCAAAAAGGACACCCAGATCCCTAACACTTAATTACACGATAGGAAATAAGTAAAAAATAAGCTACATACATACAATTGCTTGGTAAAAATTGGACATAATTTTTTGCCAGTAAGTCGTCAAATAGTTTTTGACGCGTAATTGGACATCCTCAGTTATTTTTTTGCCGTTTGCAATGAGATACGAAGGTATTTTGGATTTATTCCCACTCGTTAAGATTTTGCATTACGCTTAATAATAATAAATGTGTGCGTTATTCATTTATTATCTGTGATTTTCTTCCTTTGTTCTCGTTATAATGTCGACACAATGCATAATTTAATAATCAACGAAGAAAATATATTAATAATAATCATAAAATTGATATCATTTTTGCACAATCGATTCATTCGATTAACATTTCTTTGAAAACCATATCGATCCGTTAGATTAACCGATATTTTCAAGAAGGACACCTCACTATCTAATTCAGTTTGATAGATATCAAATGTGGCTTTTTACAATAGCAATAACTGAAGGCTGATATTGACTTTACATTTTGAAGGATAATATATTCGATCATTGCTCACGATACAGTTATTCATATTTACGAAGATTTCATCACAACATAGAATGTTGGTTTGATAGTTTCTTTGTAAACTTACGAAATTAGCAGGCTCAGAGCTCAAGTTTTATTAAAAAAATGTTTTTCTTTTCAAAAATGTTGATTTCGAACAAGTTGAAAATAATTATTGACTTCGAAATTGTGCGGTTAAAATCATAACTAGCAATAATTTATTCAAGTTCAAATGAAGTTTTTTAAATTCCTTTTGAGGTATTTTAAAGATTTGGTAGTTTTGGTAGTTTCAATTCCAATAACACTATTTTGACAGTTGATAACTAAGAGTCAAGATACCCGAGATAATACAATATAACAAAGGTTGTCTTCTATGTTGACCTTACTTGAAATTGCACCTGAGACCTCAGAGGTTCTAGAAGGGCTGAATTCAAGGGCTATTTAAAACTCAATGCTGCAAATGTTTCAGTTATCGTATTTGCAACAGTATTTATACCGATGAGTAATGTATAAATCACAAGTCTGAGCAAGCTGTTGCGTTTCTACATAACTGCTAGGTAGCGACAGTACACAACAGAGCTAGGTAACTATATTTATCACCAGTTTTTTAATGTCCTCACTTTTGGGGCTCAGGTGTCCCCTATGGATGGAATCAAATGGAATAGGGACAATGGGCCAATAACCCACCACGCGGACTAAGTGCAGATTGGTGAGTTTTAACGACCTATCGAATGGAATAGGGACAATAACCCACCACGCGGACTCAGTGCATATTGGTGAGTTTTAACGACCTAAAATATGGAGGAGTTGATGAAATAAATTTTTGGTCACCCATCCTATGACCAGCCATTGTGAAAGTTGCTGAACTACGGTTGTCACCGACCGAGACCGAGCGCACTAGCCACTGCGCCGTCGAGCTCCTCATTATAATTTCGATTTCATAAGTTATAATAAGCCTTTTAAAATCTCTTTGAGGTGACATTATTTCCTATGAATTCGTGTTAAAGTACACATCATAGTATTATAATATCTATGGTGTTAGACAATGCGTCTGATTCGCGGGCAGTTCTTGATAGGATAAAATCCTTGTTTATTTTTGTTCAACATATTTGTTTGTTTTTCTTTTTCTGACAAATTGCATGAAATTTATTCGTCCGTGGCCGGAGCAGTATAATGGGTATCTAAATGAGTATCTTTCGCACAACAGTACCTATCTGTAACGGTTGATTGAACACAATATAATCAGCCATTACAAGAACGTAGGTACAGTGCAAAACAGATTAAAAAAAGACATTTAAGTAACATCCATACAAATATCAGTTTAAAAATACTTTTATTGTGTGCTAATTTGGTGATTAGTTTTTATAATTAAACGTCGTGTATCTTATAGATAGTGTAGAGATTTAAATATGTATTAGCCGGTTTACATTAAGAGCTCGTGACAAAAAAATTGCAAGGATTATGTAACATTCTACTATTTCGATATGTTTTAGTATATCGAAATATTATGGCATTAATCAGTATCTAGTGCGGAGATGGTGGTGAAACACTTGAGGTGCGCCCAGAGATGGGTAAAATGTAACTACGATTAACGATTAGGTACCTACATTTGTAAAGTTTATTCTGCAATGAAGATTACAATCTAGTTATTATTATATTTCGATAAATTTAAGATTCATATGTAATGTATAAATAACTTATGAATTCAAAAAATTGATTACAACGTGTAATCTTCACTCCTGGATGAATGTTACAAATGTAATCATTAATCATAATTACATTTTGCCCATCTCTGGCTGCAACCGCCTAACTGTCTAGCCACGACTATAGCCATATTACACAACATTTTAGCGATGTTATGGTGATGCTTTGTTTCTTTGACTACTTCGACATGTACTTTAATAACGACGAACG